GATTTTGTCACCAGTCCCCTTCCATTCCTGCTGTTTCTCCTTATGTCTGGATTATCCCATTTTCAAAAACTATAATGTCCTGTCCAACACTGGACTCAAAACCTAGGAACATTCTTAGATATTTGGCTTTCCTTACACCCATAGAGCATCTGAGATTTTTACAAAAGCATAACGGCTTGAAGGAATCCTGGGGAGGGAAAAACCTAACCAAACAAAAACCCCAAAACTCGAACAGTTGAGAACCAAGAATGGATAGGAAAGGATTTCATCTCACCTTATAACAGTAGGTCTTTCCTTCTTGGTCTTTGACAACCGTAACACTGCCCCAGTAACATGCACCCAGAACGATGATCCCTTCCCTATCCTGTCACTTTGAAACACACCATGGTTTCATGAAGTCTCACATGTATGCCACCACCTCCATGTCCAGCTCTCATGCAACCTCACCACCCTCACAGTCAAGAATTTCTTCCTAATATCTCACTCTCCTCTTTGTCAGTTTAAAGCCATTCCCCTTTGTCCTGTTACTACCTGTCCTTGTAAAGCCCAGAATTCTTGTTGGCCCCTTTAGGTACTGGAAGCTGTTCTAAGGCCTCCCTGAGGGAAGCCTTCTTTGCGTCTTCTCTTCTCCAGGCTGAACAAGCCCAACTCTCTCTGCCGTTCTTCGCAGGAGAAGTGCTCCAGCCCCCTGATCATCTTCATGGCCCTCCTCTGGACTTGCTCCAAGAGGTCCACATCCTTCTTATGCTGGGAGCCCCAGAGCTGAATGCAGTACTTACTTCTTTCTCAAAAGCAGGACTAGGAATTCACTATTCAGAGAAACACTTTTCTTTGTTAAATGAGCTATGCACATTGGCATAGCACAGTTATTTGTAAGCTGTATTATCCATCTAAAAATTATCAACAATTCCAATTGTTCTTTTGATCTAATAAAAATATATTGGGATTTTTATCTGCCATGGTTTTGTTTATAGTAAAGCATAATTTAAACAGAAATCCATGTAAACAAAAATTATTCTGTTTGGATTCTTCATGTCACCATTTATTATAAAGGGATTTTCAGAAAAAGTAGGGCCATTCTAGACAGATTAATTTAAAAACCCTTTAAAATAATTTTACAGTTCCTTTTCAGATCATCTTCATTTCTTTCTTGCTCACCATTACTTCCTTCCATACTAGGACTCAAAGAGAACAGACAAATCCAGCTTCTTCCAAGATTTTCAGTTTCTCATTTTAATTTCTTTATATGGTCACTTGTATTTTGCAGTAATAAATATTTACTACCCAACTTGCTATTTGTACGATCATATAACTATGCAATGATTAAAGCAAACATGACCTGCTAAATATTTACATTGAACAGTCTTGCAACTGTATGAAATTGATGAAATTGTTTTGCTGTTCACATCTAGCTGGGATGTGAATCTACACAGAGATTACTTTTTAAATTGTTTATCTTTGTATATTGTGTTTTATTTACATTATTTTATTTTAGAATCTTTTTGTATCTAAAACATCTTCCTAGCAGTTCTGAAGAAATTCTGTAATTAGAACAGGAGTTCCTATGACACATGTAAATTAAGAGTTACTTCTGCATTGTTCTAAACAAGCCAGAATTAATATTTCCTAAGCATCAGTTTAATAATGTCCTCCTCTCCTGTAAATGTGTTCATAACTGAAGTCTGACAAATAACTCCTCTGTTCTTGCAATGGCCACAGTTGTGAAGGAAGCAGCCAATACTCAAAATAGCAGAGTCCAGCTCCAAAACAATCTTCAAATATCAGGGGATACACCTTGGACGAGAAGAAGTATTTGCAGTGAGGGGATTGCAAATATTAAGGTCATTAAGGTCACTATGATCTCAAAACAGGGTAGGAATCCATATTTTGGCTATTTGCTGTAGTAATCTGAAGATAAATAGTTTCAGAAACAGTTTCTCGAGAAATCAAAAATCTGCCCTCGATTTAACTTTGTTATGCATGTCCTTGTCATAAAGTACACAGATTTGTAACAGCTGGTCTTTAAGAATTCGGATAGGTGAACTAATTTGAGAGGCTTGACCAGGGTGAGGATGGGACAGGCTGCAGAGAGAGCCTCCATTTTCATTCTTGGTTTTGGGCTGTTTTTGTAGTATCTGCTGCTGGAGGCATTATCTGCTCAAAACTGTTAGCTGAGATACGCTCATGCATACTCACTGAAGCTAAACCTCCTCAGGTGTCACTGTTCAAAACAGTTTTCCAGATTTTAAGCAATGATGTCTACAACTGGTATATTGACAGGATTTCCAAAAAGAAACCATTTTCCCCTAACTAGCTGAAACTACAAAAGGATTGAACTATGGCAAATTATTACGAAGATGCCAAAATAAAAAGAAGTAATAACATCTTGGAATTAAGCCTGACATATGCAGTCAACTTGGCCCATAAAGCATCAGCAGGCCCTGACAGCACAGTTTCAAATGTGCTCCAGATCCCCAGCACCAGTAAGAGCTTCTGTAGATACTGACAAACCTGGACATTCTCCTGCAGTGGTTATTTAGCTTTAAGACTCTTAAGGCATCAAAAAGACATTGTTTATCTACAAAATTGTTTCCAGACATAAACAACAGAGAAGAAACTGGCAGGATAACAGATTATTAGCCCTCACATCCCTAAGGTGGCTCTTTTCACGAGAGTCATCCTTCACTTTTCTACTAGCAGAACACCAAATTAAATGCTGTCCGTGACTCAAGATCAAAATGCATTAAAATATTCTCAGATAAATATATCACAATCTAAGTAAAACTGGGATCAACTTTTCACACTTGCTTTTGAAAATAATGTTTGTAATTCAAAGATATTTTTTATTCTAGCTTTGTTGAAAAGGAAAATGTGAAAGAACTTCCTCTGCAGTTTCACACACATATCAGTATCACAACTATAAAGTAAGAAATTGTAGACAAGAGGAAAAAAGGCACTTGCGATCAGTGCAGTCATTACCTTTTCACCTATCTTTCTGACAACAATATTTAGAAAGACAATACAATCTTAAAATAGACTGAGAAGACTTTTGATATACTGTCTACTAGGAAGCCTATGTTTTAAAAGTTCTAGCATTTTTTTAAATGGTAATTTAGAACATATATTCATTGGCTTCCCCTGGTACTGGTGATCAGCAACTTTCATATATAAAAGAAATCCATCAATTGCCTGCACTTTCGGATAAGTAAAAGAAAATGCAGCAAATGGTTATACTCTATGAATGTCTTTACATATGTGACCTTAGACTACAATAGTTCAGTTGGAAGAGACCTAGAATGATCATTTAGTCCAGCTACAATCTTGAAAACAGCCTTAAATATAAAAACCAAAGAAACGCCCCAAAACCAACACACTGCCAAACACGTAGCAGCTTCACCACCAAACTGCAAAGCCTCCTGATCCAATTGTGTTTGTCCTTTGGCCAGTCCTTCATGGCTTCCACAAGTCTACAACAGATTCAGACAACTGTTTGTTTGCTCATCATAGCCTGTTCCTAAAATACAGTGGCTATGGACAACTTCCAATGAATCCTATCTGCGACTCTGAAATACTGCTCTGGCCTTGGAGGAAAGCAACTCTCGGCATGTATACTGGTTCAAATCACAGGAATCCACTGCAATATCCAGCTTCCAATACTATTACACAAAGCAGCACAAATTCCAAACTAAAAATCAACCAGTTGGTAATCAAAGTAATGCTGCTGTTCCCTTGCAAAGCAATTTACAGTGCTTTTATCACCATAAATCTCCTGTAATATTCTAAGCTTTTAACAGAAATCTGACTAATCAACAGTTGTTATAAACAGAAGCACTTTTGTGATGGAAAAAGCAAAAGCATATCCCATCACCAAGATACTCATTAAAATATATATATGTAATTAAGTACACTGGCTCAGAATTGCACCCTGTATTTAGGAAACAGTGGCCAAACTGATACGCTGCCATCTTCCATCTGCTATCACAGTATCACAGTATGCTAGAGATTGGAAGGGACCTCAAAAGATCATCCAGTCCAATCCCCCTGCCGGAGCAGGAACACCTAGATAAGGTTACACAGGAACGTGTCCAGGCAGGTTTTGAATGTCTCCAGAGAAGGGGACTCCACAACCTCCCTGGCAGCCTGTTCCAGTGTTCTGTCACCCTCACTGAGAAGTTTCTTCTCAAGTTTAAGTGGAACCTCTTGTGTTCCAGTTTGTACCCATTACCCCTTGTCCTATCATTGTTTGCCACTGACAAGAGCCTGGCTCCATCCTCGTGACACTCCCCCTTTATATATTTACATACACTAATAAGGTCACCCCTCAGTCTCCTCCAAACTATAGAGACCCAGCTCGCTCAGTCTTTCCTCGTAAGGGAGATGCTCCACTCCTTTAATCATCTTAGCTGCCCTGCACTGGACTCTCTCCAGCAGGTCCCTGTCCTTCTTGAACTGAGGGGCCCAGAACTGTGTAACTAAATTTATTTTCACTTGTAACTCTCTTTATTTATTAATTCAGGAGATTTCCAAAACAGCAGTCAGAACTGACTTATACATGATTAATCTTCATCACTGTGATTTTAGTCTAAAAATTTTGCAGCATACCCATCAACTCAAATACTTTCACCTGAGCTTTACAGTCTGGTTAATATACGCAGTCTATTATTTCAGCATGGCTAAGCTGAAATCACTTAGCAGCTATCTGAAACCACTTAAATATGTAGTACTGTCACAGGAACAACAAAACTTACAAGGAACTTTGACACTGGGACATAAACACCACAGCAGCTGACATAAGAGAAGTAATACGCACAACATTTAAATTGGCATCTTAATTTATGGTTTCTAGAAGGAAATGTCAAGTTGACTTTCTTAATTTCATTTCAAAATTAAAAAAAAACCAACACAACAAACAAAAAAAAAACAACCAAACAAACAAAAAACCCCCCCAAAAACTAGGAAACAGCCAACCAGCAACTGAACACAGGAAAAAAGGTTTACATTTACTTATTAGTATTTTGACTTAGCTTCTCCTGTAATTTTTCCTGATAACTTCAATAATGTGAAATACCCTATCCAATCATACCTAAAAAAATGAATTAGGTTAAATTACATTTCATAAATTAAAAAAGTTATTTAGATATTCTTACAAATAGCCATTATGGTTCTGAACTGACCTACTCATGACGTTGCTTCATATTTACAGCATGCAGCTTCTACAGTGTAATTCCTACCTAAGCAAAGCATGGAAAAAACACATTAAAATAAAATAGAAAATTTTGAAAAACTGGAACAACTGTACTTCCCAACAATAAATATAACTAACATCTGCTGCAGAAACTGCTTGGCACTTGTACAGTTTTGTGAGGGATTTTTGTTGTAGATAAATATTTTTTCTACAATTCCTATTATGCACCACTCAACTCAGACATTTTCTTTAATTATACTCCAAGGAGTCTTTTCATATGCATTAAGGAAAAGCAATTTGTTGCATAGGAAAATGCATACATACTTCTAAATTTCATCTGTCTTCTGATACATAAAAAAGCAAGGAAATACCTATAATTAATGGACTTAGTTCTGCTAAAATGTTTAATAGAACACTTAACGTTATTTTTGTTAAATCCCAAAATATGCTCTTTTTGAAATAAGGGAAGGTCTTATGATTCAGCATTTTACTTTCATTTCAAATGTCTATAATGAGGACAACAGCACAGCAAAGACTCTGGGAAAGCAAGAGATTTCTATCTTAACATCAGCCATACTGACCAAATAATGATCCCACTTTGCATACACTGCAAACATAAGGCATCGTTTTTTTTCAGGGACAAACGAACAACTTTGTGGCATTCTCCTTAGCTGTTTTTGTAATTTTGATCACCACTATTCTTAAGTAAACCATTTCAAAGACATACACGGCATTCTTGATAGAAGGTTACTTTTTCCTGAAAATATGCATAAGCTGTACACATTTAACAAAATTATTGCATTCAGCATTTCATAAAGACTCAAAGCAATCAAGATTTGTTTGCTATGATAATATACTGAAAGATTTTTTTTTTAAGGGCATGCAGTAGAAATATATTTAAATGATATTGTAAGCATGTAAAGATCTACTCCTCTGCTGAGGTATCAAGCAATTGGTAATGATGAATGAGGAGAAAATAAGGGTGCTGCCAATAAAAGAGTAGAAATGCTAACTCTAAACATGTAAAAGATTCAGTTCAGGCTCAAAAGTCTATCCATGAAGGCTCAACTCCAAAACAGAGAGTTACAGGTATAATTTGCTGTAAAACAAAGTAACTGGCATTATATTCACTATTCTTATGAAAACAGACAAAGAGCATTTCTTGAACATTATTTATAATCAAAATCCTCAGTTAAATTTAAACTAAGTTGGGCATTTTAAAAAAGAAAAAAGTAGTAAAAAAAAATATCTTAAATCATGTGAAAAAAGCATTTCCATTGATGGAAACTGTAATCTATATTGCTCTATGAAAAAAGTAAAAATCAAACCACCTTGGGTATATTTGTATTAATAAAATGAAACCAGTTGTGTTTCAGAATATTGTCATTTTTTAAGTAGAAGATTAGGAATATGTGCTTTGCTTTTACACTGTGCAATAAACTAGAGGAAATAAATAAACCATACCTAAAAATCCACATTACATTTCCTTTAAATACTTCTTCCTAAATCTGTTTTTAGATGAACAAATCTTCAAACTTGTAGATTCTATCCCTGCATTATTTCAGTTTAGTTTTTATGTAACTTGCAACTAAATCCAAATTCCCTATGCCCTCTCCTATACTCTTTCTTTTTCCTAAGCACAGATTTTTGGAGGAAAGGGCCAACAAGTTCATAAAACATTTTACAGTGTATCTAATGCAGTTACAGCTTATTCTCTTGCTCTCATATTAAAAACATTGCTGTTCTCCAGTCACATTTACACTTATCCTTCTTAACATATAATAAGCTGAACTTTTTATCCACTATTTCTTTTGGCTAAGAAAGGAGGTCTGAATAGCAATAAGGCGGTACAGAAAGCACGTATGACTATACTGTACAAATAGCAGTTATCCTACAGATCAGTAAGTTTTGCATTCAACTGAACTGGCATTCTTCAAAAAGACCAGATTTTAATATCTTAGACAAAGTGTATCTAAGAAGGCACCAAGTTTAGATGCAATGCAGCCACACAGCAAGGTGCTGCACTAGTTTTCACTCTGCTGTAATAAAAAACACCACTCACAGAACAAACAGATTTCACATACAATCTTTTAATAGGAAGAGTCCTTTAGATGGCATTTATGAACAGAATGACACAACCAAATTGTAACTTCTTCCTACAAATTTCAGAATAAAGAGAGCTTCTCATGAAGAATCAGTAACTTTCTGCATTTCCTCAAATGTATGTGACACAATAGGAATGTAGGTAAGATGAATTTTTCAGAAACTTAAAAGCAAAAGGTATATTGAATAGAACAATTACATAATTTACTATGCGATAGCTACAAGTTAGACAAAGACACTACCTAACGAAGAAAATCAGAACAAGTTAAGGACTTTAGAGCAAGAACTGCAACTCTGCTTCCACATCAGTATATAGCAGTTCAGAAAAAAGCTTTTACATAAAAGACAACCTATGGCTACGATATATTGCTTTAAGCAGTTGCAAAGAATGGAGTAATGGGACAGTGCAAGATTAAAACTAACAGCAAACAAAAAAACAAGATTAACAAAAATCACTGTCCCAGCAGCATTTGATAAGAGTAGTTTAAAAACGCCTTTTTTCCCTTAAGCAAAATATGGTGAAAGCAGGAGAACCATTTGCATCCAAGTATTACTTGGCTGTTTTCCACAACAACTAAGCCTGCACAGAGTGCATTGGACTAAGTTCTTAAGGGCTGGGACTGTTCTTGGTCTGCATACTTACAGTGAATAGTAACCGAGGCCAGTTCATAACTAGGATGTCAGGGTAATAATTTATACTGGGTCAGTGATGTGCAGATAGCAAATAAAAACAGGCAAAACACTGCCACATTAACATACCTCTTGCACAGAGCGAGCTGCTGGCTTGTCTTGATGATTGGCCAGTATTAAAAACGGCAAAGTACATAACTGTGGGTGCTGGAGAGCAGAATGCAGTTCATTCCTAGCAGTTTCTAGATCGTCTTCAGAGGAGGCACTGTCTAATACAAATATTACTCCTTGGGATCCTTGGTAGTAACGACTCCAGTACTTCCTGATATTGTCGGCCCCTAGCAAGAAAATAAGAAGAACTAATTAAAATACAAATAATTAAAGAGATTTAGCACTTCTATCTGAAAATAACCCTTCTATTTAGAACAACCAAAGCAATAGACTAGATTTTCTCTCCTACATAATCACTATTGAAAGCATAAGAAAGAAAAAAGCAACACACTCACAAACATCAAATTAACACTGTTTAAATAAGAAAGGAATTTGACTCAATACAGTTTTCATCCCTAAAAGTGTCTGCTCCATCAATGAGTACTGGCAGAACTACTAAATTCCCAGTGCCACATAATCCTATACCTTCTCACTGTAATATCTTGCTACTAGTATCTAAAACTTTGCCCATTCTTTTTTACTTAGTCCTGCAGATCCTTGCTATAACCTGTAGCTTCTGTCATGGTAGTTGCTCATTTCTGAGCATGATCAGGTCTTTCAGTTCATCTACAAGCCATCAGACAACCACCTAATAACTGGGGAAAAAAGTGTCAGAAAGTCTAGTAATTAGACACTTAGTGAGGAGAATGGTGATACAACAGTGAGTTGAACAGTGGATGAGAAGCTACGGTGACAATGTGCAAAGGTATTCATTTCAGCTACTTTTGCTCTGTCAACCACATTAAGGATTCTGGAAAAGCCCAACAGTAGACACATGAGTGAATGTACAGGCTTATATGCCACAGTAATTTTTAGAACACAGTTCAGCAGCACTCAGCCATCTCAACAGAAGCCAAGCAATAAGGTTATCCACAGAAAGCTTTTGTCTCCCTTGGGGAGTAGCATATGTTGTAACATTGAGGTAGGGAAAAAAAAGTATGTATTTGACAGCTGTCAAACTATCTAAACTATGATTTGGATATGGGCTATTCTTTGTATGTCTGAATCTGGCACTACACTCAGGGGGACTAACACTAAAAAGTGAACAGCAGCAATACCCTAGTAGAAAACTTGACATGTCTGCAAGAGAGTGATTTGCAGAAATGGGCTGATCCTTTACAGACACTTTTCTGAATCTGAGATAGACAGAAGTGAACTTTAATGTAGACACAGAAACCATGTGCTGATAATAATAAAACTCCATTTTTTTTAGAGAAACAGAACTTCACAAAAGTTCTGAGCAACATGTTGGCACACAACTGTAATTTAATGCAACACTAGTATTATAATGATATAATACCTAAAATATTTGCTTAATTTATACATTGTGCAACAGAAAGGCAGTCACTAACCAAAGGGATCTGGACTGGCTGGATCAATGGGCTGTGACCAACTGCATGAGTTCAACAAGGCAAAGTGCTGGGTCCTGCATATGGGCCACACCAAGCCCCTGCAACACTACAGGCCTGGGGCAGTGTGGCTGGAAAGCTGCTCTGCAGAAAAGGACCTGAGTGTGCTGACTGGTGGAGCTGGACATGATCCAGCTTGTGCCCAGGCAGACAAGAGGCCAACAGCATCCTGGCCTGTATCAGCAATAGTGTGGCCAGCAGGGACAGGGCATCCCCCTGTACTGATGAGTGATCACCCCCCTGTACTGGGCACTGGTGAAGCCACACCTCGAATCCTGTGTTCAGTTCTGGGCCCCTCACTACAAGAGAGACATTGAGGTGCTGGAATGGGTCCAGAGAAGGGCAACGGAGCTGGTGAAGGGTCTGGAGCACAAGTGTGATGGGGAACAGCTGAGGGATTGGGGCAGGGTTTAGTCTGGAGAAGGCTCAGGGCGGACCTTATCGCCCCCTACAACTACCTGAAAAGAAGATGGAGCTAGTAGCTTGTTGCTCTCTTCTCCAAAGGAACAAGCAATAAGACAAGAGGTAACAATCTCAAGCTGTGACAGGGCAGGTTTACATTAGACATTAAGTAAATGTTCTTCACTAAAAGGGTGGTCAGGCATTGGAACAGGCTGCCCAGGGATTCAGTGGAATCCCTGCCCCTGGAAATGTCCAAAAAACATGTACGTGAGGCCCTCAAAGGCAGAATTGGCAGTCCTGGGGTTAAGGCTGGACTTGATCTTAAAAGTCTTCTCCAACCTAATTGATTCTATGATTCAATGGTGAAGAAATATCCAAATCTCACTCCATGGAGTTCCTGTCTTCTCTGTACCAGCCACACTGGAATCTTAGGCACTCTGTTTCTGTGTTCTGCATCTAGCACAATTTAGGTGGCTAACGAACACTGGGAACACATGCTTTTTTATAGAGAATACCAAAAGTCATACCTGAACAGTTTTTCTGCAAGAGAGCTAAACAGTCAATTATTTAAATGTAAATGATCATGGGATTTAGTCAAGATCTTGCTTAATTTCCCTACTAATTTAATCAGAATCAAAGTAACAATGCAGGAACAGGACAGATGTTTCATTTATTTTATCATCAATCTCTGAAGATCAACATTACATGCATAGAAGAGAGACTGCATTGAAAGCTAATTCTGTGTTTCCTGTATCACCAGAGTATCTACCAACTGTACTTGTAAAGAATTTCACAGCATCTGTCAGATGTTCCAGTCTTTCCAAACATCTGTCTCTGTCAGAACCAAGTGGAGCAAGTTGCCAGAGGGACACTACTTGCATAGCCACACACAGCTGTGTCACAGGCATCTGAAATATCACATTACTTTAAAACCTGTTAGAGAATGATTTTCAGGGAACCGAAAGGCCAACACCCTGATCAGTTCCTTGAAGGTCTTTTTTTTTTTTCCCTAGCAATCTAACATCTGTCTTACTTACTCTAAGCTTCATCCAGCTACTTCTCAATCAAATGTTGCTGCCAGAACCTGAGTCTTTTCTTTGTAACTGCAATATTTCTAAAGAGAAATATTTTGTGGTGAACTACAGAGCACAGAAACTGTGGTATCCAGGCACATGGATCCCTACATGGGACACTGGAGCCAGAAAAACAACATGCTGACCTGTGGACCTTACTGTCCTGTCTGCTTGATTCAAGTTCTTGTTTCTCCGTATCAACTGTCCCAAAAGAAACACCACCAAAGCATAGTAGTCCTTTTCTCTCCAGATGTGGCCGGTCATCATGGCGTAGTTGTGAGAACCAACTGACAACGTCCAACAAAACCTGGTGTTTCCTTTGGGATGTTCTATTAGAATAATGACGTATTCTGAATTTGCTTACACTTCAATTCAGAGGAAACCACAGCCTGAGTTTTAAGAATAAAAGTATCTTCACTAAGCAGACAAGCGCTATCAGCAACTGGAAATCACAATTCCTACATGACAAATAAGCTCATATTCTTTTAATTCTTCACACCCAAGGAGCATAACTTGTTCTTAGTCTCTTTTTCCAGAGGGCACTGGTAGTTATCCTGGGCAGAAAATGCTGCCTTGTGATGAGTGATCCATCACTATGGCATGACAAACTCAGTCTTTAGACCAATCAGTTGTTTTTAAAGGTGCAGTTTAGCACCTTAGCACACTACCCTATAAATTAATCTTTTCATCTCTTCTAAAGATTTCTATGACAGTGAAATTCAAAAGTTGGACTTCTTTGGCAAGACATAATGTAATGTACCTCCACTAAACAGACTCTCAATAAAACCAAAAACTTAACTGGTACCCAAAAATGTTCTATCAAGTAATAGTAACATACAGGACAAGCATTTAGGTTTGTCACAGGCAAAAGCTACAACTCATGCCTTGACATGTGATTTTTTCCTACACCACTGGACCCATGGGAGTGGGTTGGGTCCTGTGATGTGACTAACCCATGCAATTTACAAAGAAAAGAGGTGAGACACACCACACACAACAACACACCAGAACATACTACAACACAATCACACTACTTACTATAAAAGACTCTATAGGCTTGACTTACTTCATAAAAGGAAGTACAAGGAATCAAAAGGGTGCTGTAATTAAAACCCCAGTCATTCAGCATTACTACAGGGCAGATCTATTCTATAACTGTTACAAATTTTACAAAGTTTTAACTTGTAATTATAACAATATCAAATAAATTCCTTTTTTATTTTCAGCCAAGGGTATAGTATTTCCATATCAACACTACTTATTAAAGACCCCTTAGAAGCTGGGGGGGAAAGAGTGTGAGTTATATGCAGTTTAATGCATTTCCAAAACAGGCTGCACAATTATGTGCAAATATACAAAATTCAGAGCTGCAAATCTCCATTTCACCTATTAATATTTCTGCTCACATCTTCGTCCACACATGCTTGAGGCTACCTTCAATTCCCCCCTTTTCAGTACTTTAAGGAAAACACAACACAGAATTACAGAAAAACGTCACTGAAAGCAATTTAAAGGTGTCAAATTTGTTACTTGTCAAACTTGCAGCAAGACTCCATCGAGAGCACAACGAATGTCATGTAGCCCTTGCTTCAAGACAGTCTAGCTTGTGCATGAAAGCTCTTGCTCACCTCAAAATACATCACAGCTCCAGCGAAATTATAGTCTCAAATCCAGGGGAGAACTTTTTTTTTTTCCTTCACACCAAAAACAGTTAACCTGGGGCCATAAAAGATTGCAGGCTGCAACCAGTTTTTCTGCCACTTCAAACATGACATCCACTCACCTCCAATAAAAGCCATATACCTATTTTGAAGGTTTTATAGTTGATTAAAAAAATACATAGATAATTCCTCTACTGATATCAAACAGGCCATTTCTAATTATCTAAAACCATGAAAAGATGTTAAAGAATATGTCAACTGCACCACAAAAACTTTTTAAATGAAAGACTGGACCACAACTGGAGAAGTAAGGAGAGGAAAAGAAAAAGAAATCTCTTGTCCATTGTTGCAAAATCTTTAAATACACCCTAGTGTCCCACCCCACAAAAACCTTATTAAAAGGATTTTGAAATAACAGTTTCTAAATCTACATACGGTTTATAATTTCACTTCCCATCAAAACTGACATGTCTTCTTAGGCAATCTGGAAAGTACCTGAAATCTTAGAAATCTTAATAGATTTTTAAGAGATGTTGCTATACCTCATCTGTCTCTCACATACTCTCTATTTAGGTGTCCAAGT